TCTACAGATGTAAGTACATTTTTAGCCACAAATGTAATCTGTTTAATAAGCCACAATGTTATTTCAAATGTCAGAAACTCATCAGTCTCAGCATGGTTGGCTTGGATTTGTTACATGGTTTCCAAGATCTCAGTTGGGAACACTGACGTTGGGTGTTTGAATCCTTTTTCACATGTGTCTAGTAACTGAGGTGGTGCCAGCCAAGTGCCTTAGAGGCTCTTAAATAAGTTCTCTCTCCTCTCTCTTTCTCTCTCTCTTTTTCCTCTCTCTTTCTCTCTCTCTCTCTCACACACAAACACACTTCTTTTCTTTCAGGATGTTACCAAACCATGCATCCCTCCATGTGGCTCTTCATGCATAAAGTCTTGGGGTCATCAGTTTCTTAGGAGGAAACTCAAGCTCTAGGAGAGAAGGGTCCATCCATATATTACTACCCATTTTTTTTGTCTGCAAAGAAGTAACTATGGTGATTAGTTTTAAAAGAAAATAAGCAAATATCAGTTTTTTTTTAATTGATGTGTTGACGTTGTCCCAGGTAAGTAGGGCACATGATAGACACAGATTTTTATGACCAATCTCCCAAGAGAAAACAAGTTCTTCCACCTACTCATTCACTGGAACTGCTTTTTGCAAACACCATCTCTCTTTGTTCTTATTTCAAGCTGTGCAGGCTATTTTATAATCCATAATTAGATCCCTCTTGAATAAAAAGATAAATGTCTGTTACTGTAACTGGGATATAGCCATTGTGCCCTTACAAATTGGAAGCCTCATAGGTAAATGATTCTTTTGTCGGTTTGCTTGTTATGAGTCAGTCCTACAAAGTTGATGAACTCTAATTGAACTGTTGAGATAAAGCTGGATCTGCAAATCTGAATCTGCCAGACTTTGGACCATGAAAACAAAGCCTGAACTTGGGAGGAAAGACCCCACTAAGGAGGCCAACACATCCTTCTAGCACATATACCTCTATCTGTTTTCTCTTTGGTCCTGGGCATCTATGTCCTGCACAATGTGTATGATTGCAAAGCCATCAACAAGTTGAATATTCATTATGTGATTTCAGTCATTCAGTAAATCATCTCTCAATTCCACAATAAGAATTACCAGGAGGTACACAAAACTTCTGTCTCATGGTGGAAAAAATAATTGGAATTTAGAAGAATAGCAGCAACAACAAAACAGCATGCAGAGTGGCAAAAATCTTAGCAACTTCAGGAATGGAAAACCAATCACGTGCTTCCTGTGTGAGGTGTACAGTGATTTAGTTATTCTAGTGTCCTGCAAGTCACATGCTATTATGCACACTTAATACTTGAGGATCTCATCGCGAAGAGGATGTGAATCAGTTGCACTGGGGACACAAGCGGTAAGTTGGCAGAGTCGGTTCACAGTTAAGTTTTTTCACTGAAAAGCAAATTTTCTCAAGTGCCTTGGAGGGTTGTTCTTGCACTGTTAACTGTGCAAACCACAACCTTCTGAAAAGCTAAGCCATCAATGTTCTCAGAAACCTGAATTTTAATTATGCTTTCTTTAACTGCATACAGCCCTGCTGAGATTCACACTAAATGCTGATTTTGTAGTTTATCTGAAAACTAAACATAGGACCTGAAGCAATTTTCTCAATAGAAGAAATACAAATGATCAACCAAGTATGCACACAAAAGACTCAGTATTACCAGCTCTCAGAAAAATATAATTCAAAAGTACAATGAGATAGCAACTTATTAGAGCTGGAATGGCTATATAAAAAACACAAAAGCCAAAAAAATACTGGCAATGACACTGAGGAGGGGGAACTGTTACACACTGTTGCTAAGACTGTAACTTAATATGTCTGTTATAGAAAATAACATTATAGGACAGAAATTTCTTTAAAACCAAAAGCAGAACTACCAAATGATCCAGCAATCCCACTCCTGGGAAATAGGCAAGAAAATTAAATTACTAATTGCATCAATGAGATGCTTGCACTAGTACATTCATTGCTCACTGTTTCACAATTGTCAAGATATGGAATTAACTGAGGTGACCAGCAGAAGAAATGATAAACACAGTGCAGTGCATAAACACAATAGAGTAATAATAAACAACCATAAGAAGAATGGAATTTGAAAGGAATCCATCTGAACAAAATGGATGAACCAGAAGTCATTGTGTTAAATGAAATAAGCCAGACCAAGAAAAGACAAATGCCACATGTTTTCTTACGTCATAGTTTAAAAAGTCACTCTGAATGTCAAATCGTGATTAGTAGAATGAGCAGAATGGGAAAGAGTGAGTAGTTAAAACACGGACAGATAAAAGGAATAAATCCTGGGGTCCCTCAGGACACAGCAGTGACTAACATTCAACATTATGTATTTTATTTATAACTAAAAAAAATTCAGAGATCCCAAAGAAATGAGAGAAAAACAGAAATGAAAGTTAACCATGTTCATGTTTCATTGTATGTTGAAATACCACCCTGTACCCCACAAATATGTAAAATTATTACATTATTAAACAGAAGAAAATCAAAACTTATTTGAAAATTTCAGCCAGAAACTGAAGATAATAACATTAAAAGACATTGAGAACATCAATAACATGTGACAGAATTATCAACCGAGTAGCTCTGTATTTATTGAAAACCGTTTGGGGTCCAGTTTTGCAGAGCACCAGGCTTACCTGCGCTCTGCAGTATCAGTGTCAGGAGTGCTGGGTCCAGTCCAGCTCATGCTAAGGATCCTGGCAAAGCAGCAGAGGATCAATCACACACCTGGGCCCATGCTACACATAAGGAAAACCTTGGGTGACACTCAAGGCTCCTGGATTTGGCCTGTCCTTACCCTAGCCATGAAGGTCATTAGAGAGGTGAACCAGTTGATGAAAATCTCTCTCCCTAGCTCTATCTTTTAAATAAATACATAACCTTCAAAATAAAATAGTTTTGATAAATAATCTTTCATCCTTTAAACTTCTTTTAACTACATATCATTTTCTATTGAGTAGAGCAGTAGATTTTTTTTTTACCATATCCATATAGGAAATACAATCTCACTGTAATCCAAAACAGAAGTGCATGCAAATATATATGTATCGTGTTATGTGTGTGCACGTGAGCCTGAAATTGAATTCCACAAAGTCTACTCACCAAGATAGGAACTCCAATTTGTTTTGTTCTATTCCATTGAATGTTTTTACTGTGTTGATCATAACCCACAAATTTGAAGATCCAAAGGCACACTGAAGTCTTGGGATGTGGGAGAAGCATTTCAGTAGCAGTAACAACACTGTGCTCTTTGAATTGGAGAAAGTGTTATAGGTCAACCTCAACATGTGAAAACTCAACTGCAAGTCAGTGATGGGATGGGACCAAATGCAAGGTCTCTGCTTTATTCTATCGTGGATTATTTTCTGCTCTCACACAGGTGGATTCTCAACATCATGAGACAGGCAGCACAGTTTTGCCCTCATAGCAGCACTCAAAGCTCCTTCCTGCCTCTCATCCCCCCAGCCCTTACTCAGTTCCACTCCCTAGGGGCCGCAGTGTTGTCAGTCGGTAAGTCCACAGTCCTCACTTTATCCACAGGTACTGTTTGGGTGGCTGATTCCAGCAGCCATCCTGCCTGAGGATGTGAGAGTCCAGAGACTTGCCTATAGCAATGGAACCATGCAAAGTGAAGCAAGTAGACACAATGTTACCACTAACACGGATTTCTAGTGACATTTGTTGTGGCTATAATGCTCCATCCCATTAGACTTCTAAACCATAACAGATCCTCGAATTTAGGAAGAGGCTCTTCATTTGGAAATAGAAGTTCAGATCACATTTAGGGGTAAAATTCTAAACCTGAAGAATGTCAGCTTTGCAGCTCATTAAAGTGAAGGGTGGAACTAACACACATGTCGACTGGCGGAAAAAAATGGTTCTCTGACACTCAAAGTTACTTAGAAAATCAAAAGAAGCTCAAAGCTCTCAGGTAAATTCTTAACTTTTAATGATGACTATAATACTTATGTTGGCACTAAATAAACTCGCTCAACTACTCATGCCCACGTTCATACATGGGTATCGACAAAACTCCACCCAAGCTAATGTCAGCAACTGAGTATCTTCAAATAGTCAAGTCTGAATGGTGCGTTTACGAAAGGAGTCAATGTTGAGTGACATAGCATTTTGTACACTTCCTTTTTCAGAAAAGTAAGACATTTCAATCATGCTTCCATTCCAGTATACATCCATTTTCACTGCATCTCTAGACACACTTCTTAAAATCAATCCGGAGTGAAGCAGGTAAGACAGTAAACAGAAAATGCAAAGAATTATCAGCATCAGTTACCTCCCAATTAAAAATCAGATGAGGGGCCCGGCGCGGTGGCGCAAGTGGTTAAGTCCTCGCCTTGCACGCCCGGGATCCCATATGGGCGCCGGTTCTAATCCCGGCAGCCCCGCTTCCCTTCCAGCTCCCTGCTTGTGGCCTGGGAAAGCAGTCGAGGACGGCCCAAAGCTTTGGGAACCTGCACCCGCGTGGGAGACCCGGAAGAGGCTCCTGGCTTCGGATCGGCATAGTATCGGCCCGTTGCGCTCACTTGGGGAGTGAATCATCGGATGGAAGATCTTCCTCTCTGTCTCTCCTCTCTGTATATCCGCCTTTCCAATGAAAAAATAATAAAAATAAATCTTTAAAAAAAAAATAAAAATCAGATGAGAAAGGAACAGCCAACATTTTCGACACGAACATGAGTATGAAAATATATATAACACAGCTGTCAGTATTTTGGTTTAAAGAACTACATCACATCTCTATTGGTTAAATAACAAATAAATAATGATAATATCATCAATTATCTTGCAGTAAGATTCCTCCCTTGAGAATAGAGTTTTTGAAATCCAGTCTGTACCCAATTGAAATACTCGAGTTACTTTTGAGTTTCCTACAGTATTTGTTAGTCTGTGTAATATAATGTGTTAAAATTTGGAGACACTTGAAAGTAATACAATACAAAACGCCAAATCATTTTTCATAGTTTTATTGAGACATTTTGAATTTTGATTATCTAGGGTAAGTACACTTCTAGTGGCTACAATTAGGAAGCTCTGCTGTTACTATACATAGCATATCTGCAAAGCTGTCTGACATGTCTCTCTCACACACACATATCCATATACTCATGCATGCGAACAATACAATGCTATTATAGGAAATGTGCTTTCTTCCTATGAACACATATTTATGCACAGTTATTGTGGATTTTGTTCAGCTACCACTAATTTAGATAAACCTGAGAAAGCTCAAAATGTCAAGTAACACTGTTTCCATCATCACTTACTCAATGGCACTATTAATCACAAAGAAATCTAGTTCAATTGTCTATATGAAAGTCACATACAATATAAAAATAAACGTTTTTGCAAAAGCAGTTAAACATAATACAATTCAATTTCACAAATGTTGATATGTAACATATATTCACCTTCATATGAATTTGGGATTATGTATAATACAATGTACAATAAAAACTGTAACAGAATACAGCAGCCAAATATACAGTTTCACTATAAAACTTGGGCGTCACGTCATCAGCTGAGCAAAGATAAAAGGTTAAAACCAACAGCACTTCTGAACTTCTTGGTAGTGTTATTTTAAAGACTTCATCTTACAGAAATTAATGCTATACTATCTCATTTTACAAACAAGCACAACCATTTAAGAATTGAGCAGAAAGTGAGGGATTGCAACCAGCTGCCCGTTTCTCTTTCTCTGGCTCCCTACAGCTTTTCCTTAAATTCTACTTCTGTATCTATAATGCCCATCCCACTGGAATTCTGAAGAGATCAAATTCCAATGTAATAAAAGCCTTTTGCCTATAGAAGTGGATGCACTAAACATATCCGGTAGCACAGGTCTAAATTTCCCAAAAGAAGGAAATATCAACTTATTTGTAAAATATGGAAAAAATACACAATATAGAACCAATCTAAGATACTTTATATTCATTATTTTATGACAGCCTGCTTCCAAATCATGGCTATACCCAAGTAATTTTAAATTAAAAGGTGAACATGCCAACACATCTCTAGGGAAGTCAATGATTTGCAGCAGGAAACAAGTTTCTGTATTTTAGACCTAAAAAAAAAAAGAAAGAAAAAAAACCCTAAAGCTGTATACACTTCAAAATACTGGTATCTTAAAAGTATTATAATATACGACTCTCACTTATTTATGTACTATATACTTTGTAAAATACAACAGATGATCTATTAATGCTATATATTGCAATAAATATATTATACATCAGTATGTTGCATCTTTCAAGAAGTTTTTTTAACTGTACAACTGAAGGACTCTGAGTTACAACAATAAATACCATAATGATAGATACAATTTGACCAGCAAAGTAAAAGTCTTCACAGATCTTAACAAATATCTTATTTTGGTTACTGACAACTGCAGTACCCACAGACAGCTCAATGTCCTGTCTGAGGAGACAGGGAAAAAAATGAGAGGTCACAGTCCCAGATGATAATTGACAAACTGTACAAGAACCTCTAACCAGAGACTATGGCGTCCTGGAAATCAGGGTGGTGTATGTCATGTCCTCCCGGATGCCCAGTTTTCCTGCTTTATCACTCTCCCTAATGCCACAACAAGTGGGTGTCATCTAACCTTTGCCACTCATGTAACATTGATGCAAAAGGGTCAAGAGTCCTACGGCTGGCCAAGTCACAGGTCATGGTTTTCATTCAGAATGTGGACTTGCTTGCTATATTTTACTAGTTGAGGATTTTATGTCTTCAATGTAAACACAAATTGAGGCCCACAGACTCAAAGATGTCAATGTGCAAGTAACAGAAACCTCGAACTTGACATGACACATATGTTGGTAGTACAGAATCTAGCCAGCTGCCAGATCCTATGATTGAAGCTGTTCTTTCATTTAACTGACAAGAGAATTCTGCGTTTACTCTCAAATGCTTACTTGTATCTTCTTCATATGGCAAGAATCAGCTTCTCAGCCACTACGTCACTCCTGACTTTCTGAGTACTTTCACTCCCAGCATAAATCTTTTCAGAGATTTCTTTTGGCTTGGAAGAAGTTGGCAAGATGGTTCTTGCTACTGTTTGGCATCGACTCACATTTCCTCATTGTCCACTGAGTGATGGACAACGCTATCGAAGAAATACTTTGAAGAAGAAAATATGCCAAGTAGTAAAAGGGCATTTGTAGATAGGGCCTTTCTCCTCTCTACACACACATCCCCAAAGAAGGCTCCCTGAAACCTGAAACAAGATACTTAACACTCTAATTCAGGCTAGGCATCCCGAGACCTGATGGGAAAAAACTAAACTGTGTCAATAGTAGATACATGTAGCATTCCACTGTGAGCTCAAGTATGGTATAGACTCTCGCAATTCCATCTGGATCAGTTCGGAAATTTTGATCTTGTCTTACTTAACATGTTTGAAGGGGTCAATATAATACCCATGTATTTTAGATTTTGTGCTTGAGGATTCTAAAATAAGGTTGTCTATAATCCTCCCCCCGTAAGAATTTTGCTAATCCTCTCTCTTATCAAAATGAGGTGTGCAAGGTTTCTACTTGATTGTGCTGGGATACTTATAAATTAAGCCTGAAAATGTAAGCACAAGCGCTTAGGAGGCAGGATGCAGATTTTCTTCTTTGATCTTATTGGCTGGAAATTTGGTTACCTGAAGCAACAGCGAAGGTCTTGGAAAGCTTCAATCCACTCGGGAATTTCATGAACTGACAGCAAGCCCCAAATTCCCCATCATTATGGGTTCAGATTCTTTCTGTCTTTAATATATAGCGCCGCACAGCTTTTCTTACAAGGTTCTTTCAAATGAGCTAGTTCACTGTCTCGTGCAAACTCTGGCAATAGCTTTTGCCGGGCTAGATTTCACAATCAAAAAATCTCGTGACATTGGATTTGCTGTTTGGGGCAATTAAACTATCTCCTAATTCTCACTATATAAATTTGACAGTTTCACTGGCTATAATTTAATAGCCATTGAAAAGTTTCAGAGAATTTGCAATTAATTGCCACGCCACTCACCCCCCAAAAAGATTAACCAGTTCTCTTCTCTTTGTGTGGAATTGGCGTCTTCTATAGATCGCTTCTCAGCACTCTGGTACAGCAGGTGCTTTGATTTGTCTGGTGTCACTGTCTTTCTATTTTCTTTTTCAATAGCAGGATGTAAGATTCATTAAACTCCTGCAGTCTTTCATGATATTAACATAAGCAGTACAAACTGCCTTTTTCTCGTTTCAGCATTTCATTTAATGTTTTCAAGCACTTTGAAAAAAAAAAAAAGAACCTCTTCCATGGTGATTTTAATTTAAAATAAAGTTCTTATACTGAAAAGCTTTCCCCCAACTCTACATTGCTGCATACACTGGACAGTAAACTTGTAAGCTGTGCATTGCGGGTGCCTGACAGCTGCTCATCTTCTGAAAATACTCCTCTGCTCAACACCCCCCGACTTGCTAACATCTGCTCTACTTCACTTCAATTTTGGTCTGCAAGTTATCTGTGATTTTTGAAACCGTTTTTACAGATGTGACTGAGCACTGGTTTTGGAACAGAGTCCCAAGGCTTTGCACGGCAGTGGCGTAAGTAAACGCTCTTCATTGCTGGAGGTCTCAGAGTTCAAGCTATGGACAAGAAGGAAAACGTGCAGTTCAACAGTCTTGAATGCATTTTACCAGCAGAATAGTACTTGCTGGCTTCTCCCATCAATCATCTCACACCCAACACACACTGAATGGTTTTCTAGAAATAACTGGAAAATATTCCCTTTTCAGGCTTTTAAATCCTTTTGACTCTTTCTATTCAGCCCCAAAGCAGCTCAGTGAGCTACACCAGACATGACATCCAGGAAGGTCTGTTCAGCTGCTAGTGAATGAATGGCATTCAGTACTTTGCTATGCTAGGTTAGATGTTTCTGAGAATACAGTTCAATTTCTTCCTATCACAGGTTGTTAAAGACAACAAACTCAAGTTTCAAATGGCTACTAGGTTTGATGAAGAAATGATTCATGTGGAAATAGCCCCGGTCCTCATGTGCATACACGCTTTAAACAGAAGAGCCTGTAAATGTAGAGGCAGAGAGATAGTGTCTAACTAGGTATTCAGTTTTATTAAACACACTTCTAATCAGAAATAAAGACTGAGTGCAAACCCAAACTGGGTGTGGATGTGGGCATTTCTTCACACTGTCTACTTGAGGCTTTGCATTTTTTGAACGTTATAGAAAGTTCAATTACACGGGGGAAGGAGTGGGGTAGAAGGAGGGAGTACTTGGTTCTGGTTAAGCATCCTACCATGTTACAAAAGTGAGCTGTTTGGGATTCTTGCGTCTTCACAAGCTGGTATCTCCATTCTGCTTGAACTCTGATAAAATATTGAGGGTCATGTCTTCACTCTTAGATTGCAAGTTTGCCTCACTTCTTCTCGAAGCTTTCCTGGTCGCCCGGGACAGTCTCCTCCTGAAAGTGTCTCCTGCCAAGAAATAGAGAATGGGGTCCACACAACTGTTCAGACTTGCCAGACCTCTGGTCACCTGGTAAGTGGCATACACCCTATCATTGAAAGCGCACATTTCCGGAGTCTGAAAATCCAGCCGGGCCCTCATGTTCATGGTTTTCATCACATGGAAAGGGATATAAGACACAGCAAAAACAGTGAGCACAATAATCACCAGGTAAATGGATTTCCTCCTCAAGGGCGAGTTGTCCAGGTCCTTGTAAATCAAAGCCCTCACAATTAACCCGTAACAGCCCAGAATCAGCACCAAGGGCACACAGAACATGGCCACGGTGGTGCACATGCTATAGATGAAGTAACTTCGCAGGTACTCTTCCGAGGTGGTGTCGTAGCAGGTGATGGTTTTGTTCATCCGGATTCCGGTGCCCGAGTAGAAGAGGATGGGGGAGATGGCCACCACCACGATGAGCCACACCAGCACGCTGACGTAGATGGCGTTCTTCTTCTGCAGCCTGCCCAGAGACTTGAGCGGGTACACCACGCCGCTGTACCTGTGCGCGCTGATGCACGTGAGGAACAAGATGCTGCCGTACAAGTTCACATGGAAGATGAACCGCTGCAGTTTGCACATAGCATCCCCGAAGATCCAGTTGGTCTTATTGAAGTAGTAGAAGATAAGTGCTGGCAGGGTCAGCACGTACAAGAAGTCGGCCAACGCCAAGTTGAACATGTACACGGAGATCCCGCTCCACGGCTTCATATGGAAAACGAACATCCAGATGGCCACGCTGTTGCCCAGGAAGCCAATGATGAACACCAAGATGTAGACAGCCGGCAGGTAGTAGAACTGGAAGCCCGTCTTGGTCAGGGCACATGTGAAGGAAGCGGCCACCTCGGTGGTGGAAGTCACTGTGCTGTTTCCCCAAGGCGAGCCCGCGCCAGCCAGAAAGGCAGGGTCAGTCCCGTTGGGGACAGCTGGCCACAGCACCTCAGTCATTCTCTCCTTTCCGATTTAGGCAGCAGCTCCAAGGGACGAACGGCAACAAGAAGGTGGCGGCGGCAGCAGGGGGCACAGAGAGCATCGGAGGAAAGGGCAAGCAGAAGGGCGCGTGCACTGGCGCCTGGGATGCCCGCGAGAGAGGGGGCGCGCGGGGGCTCGACCACGCCGGCTGCGGGCCATGAAATCCGCTGGGGGTCGCGACCGAACCGGGCTGCCAGGCGGGACGGCAACTTCCCGGTCGGGCTGGCGGCGCCGCGGTTACACAACAGGGCGCGAAGGGCACCGCCACCGGCCGACAACTTTCCGACTGCGCTTTCCTGAGGGGCCGCGGGTCCGCGCTGCAGAGCGCGCCCGAGACGCAGCAAGGTCAAGGCAAACTCGCTAGTCCGCGCTCGGGCACGGGGCAGGCGCACCCCAGCCTATTCCTCCCAAAGATCAACTTCGTCCAGGCATATATCTGCCTACCTTAGAAGAAAGCAGCTCGGCTTTTCGCGGCGCCTCGCGGAGGTCTCCGTCCACAGCCCCAGTCCATGCGCTCAGCCTCTCGGGGCCATGGGCACGCGTGGGGCCGCCGACCCGAGCGCTCGGGATGGGCCTCCTGCGGGCCGTCCGTGCCGCTCAGGGGCCCTTCCCGAGGCCAGCCTCGGCCCCGAGTGCCGGAGGCAGGCGGGAGCGCCGAGCTCCCGGCGAGGGTGGGCGGAGTTTGGGCACCGGGGCGAGTCGGCCCTCCGCGGGGAGGCGAGGGGCGTGCCCGTGCCCGGCCCTGCCCGCGGCCCGCCGGCGCTGTCCGGGAGCCCGGTGGCGTCTGCGAGGGTGGAGGTCCTCGCCAGGCCCTGGGTCGCTCAGCCAGTGCCCCGCCGCAGCAGCTCCCGGAGTTGGCGGCGAGAGCAAGGGGTGCGCGCTCGGGCAGGGGTTGGCTGCTGGCGAGCGATTGGCCCGCGAGCGCTCTCAGGCTCTTCCGCCGGCTATCTGGGCAAAGTGAAGTTGCTGACACACAGGAAAGCCTTGAGACGGCACCGAGCCTTCTGCGCGTAATCCCAGAGCCCGGCGCAAGTCTCCAGTGTCCCCCACCCCAGAACCGCGCCAGGTGTTGGCAGGCGCCCAGCAGCCAGCAGCCCTTCTCTGGGAACGCCCTGACGGTGCGGAGCGCCGCGCTTTTCCCGGCACAAGTAGGAACCTGCTACTCGGAGAGGGCGCGAGCCGCCCGGAGTGAGGGTTGGAGCGCGGGCGGGGAGTCCTTTTCTGTCCTCCTCTGGTTCTTAACCAAATGCGAATGAGCCGTCCTCATTAGAACATGAACGTGAGAATTTCTAGAAGCGCCTTGTAAAAATATTGTTATTTGAAACTCAACCGTGCTTCAGCACAATTTGACTTGATACCAAACCCTTTAATTAACGATCAAGAGACCGAAATGGAGAAATAATTCAAAATCAGTCCTTCGGGTAATAAGATGGAGATTCAGTAAAGCTTTATATAGAATCATAAAAGGAGCATTTTAAACCCCGAAGTGATAAAGGTATGGCTTGGGGTTTTATTAATTATTCTATTTCTTTAAGTTAAATAGTTAAACACACCTCCGGTAAGAATTTTAAGACTGTACAGGGTTAATTACTATATTTATTTGACAGCTTCTTTCTGTTTACTGTGTCAGCATTTTAAGCACTGCACCTCAGAAAAGTTTTGAATTAGTTGACTTGTAAACGGAATGAATTATTAGCTACTAAAGGACGTAATTAAATGGCCATGAATCTAGCACTTCTTGAGAACTTACTAATCAATAATCTGCTTAATATGACCTATGAATCATGACTTTCCTCCCGGAGAAGAAAACATCCATGCGGAAAATATCTGTAAAATATAAACTCTAAAGGCGGCTTTCTGGTCCCAAACGTTACATGGCAGTGTTCCTTTAAACATACGCCAAGGGAAACCACCACCAGCCCCTGGGCTTTGATACCACAAAGAGTAATATCCCACAAGACTCAGGCATCCTGCAGAGCAGTGCGAATGACGGCACGCGGGTCGTACCCATGCACTTGGGATGAACGCACGGGCACTGTGAGTTGTGATGAAGCAAGCGGTGGGAGGCACGATTATAAAATTAGAGCAAATAGACAATAAATAAATAAATAAATAAATAAATAAATAAATAAATAAATAAATATTGCTGCATTGAAAACTGTCTTATCTTTTGTTTCCTTCCAGTTCCCAAATTATATGATTCAACATTTCCGAGTCTCATGTGAAGCATTTTAAATGGACTGGGATGGTATGACTGGGGTGGGTTGTCCATTAAGATGGAAAAGGGAGCAAGGAAAACCATTAAGGTTTCCAAGGACACTCAAGAGGGCTTAACTCCTTACTCCTTTGCATTGGTCATTTGCAACCTAAGCAGTATGTAACCTCAGCAGTAAGTCTGTTGCAAATGCATTAACTCATAATGTGTTCTTCAAGTGTACCCTTACACCAAATACCATTATGAACTTTGATTTTAAAAATGAACGTTTGCTAGAAATTTACAGTAGAAATCTGTGCACCACAGATTTTTTTTTTATTGATAAAAGTGTGTGCATCTCTACTTCAAAGACTCCCAGTGAAACTGTAGGACATATCTTGACAATAGGATGCTGGACTATCTGGCATTGTCTATACCAGCAATGTCGGGATGCGCTTAATTTACAGACTGATGGACTTATGACTGCTTATGAAGGACTATACTATTGTAATAACATTGGGAAAATCAATCAGGAGGTGGGAATTTGGGAGGAGGGAGGGAAATTCCAGGCCCTATGGAATTGTAATATAAAATTCAAAATAAAAAGAATTTAAAAAAATTTTTAAGTGTATGCTTTGGGGACCCGGCGCTGAGGCCTAGTGGCTCAAGTCCTCGCCTTGCACACACTGGAATCCCATATGGGCACGGGTTCTAACCGCGGCAGCCCCACTTCCCATCCAGCTCCCTGCTTGGGGCCTGGGAAAGCAGTTGAGGACAGCCCAGAACTTTGGGACCCTGCACCCACGTGGGAGGCCAGGAAGAGCTCCTGGCTCCTGGCTTCTGATCAATGCAGCACCAGCCATTGCAGTCATTTGGGGAGTGAGTCATCAGACGGAGGATATTTCTCTCTGTCTCTCCTCCTCTCTATATATCTGACTTTGCAATAAAAATAAATAAATCTTTAAAAAGTATATGGTTTGTCAACACTGACATTTACATTCAGCACCAACTACCTATCTGTAATAAATATGCTTAAGTTGTATTTTAAATCAAAATTGTGCCTTATGAGAACAAGTGATTGGTATTCAATAGTCAATTGTTGTTCACATTCTACTTGCAAAGCATTGAACTAGATTTCATGAAGGAAAAAGCAAAATACGAGTTTATAGATGACCTAAATAAATGAGATACCTGCTGTACATTTGAGTGAGTGACTTTTCTCCAACATTCTGTATTAATTTGATTTGTACTGGAGTCACCATGTTCTGGGGTTCATAATATGATACCCCAAAGTATGGTACTTTGTGACGGAAAGTACGTCAAATGAAAGAGCATTAGAAGAATCGAGAATCCTGTTTCCTGCCATTTTTCTCCCAAAACTTGAATTCCTCTTGGACAAGATGAGTCATATAGAGTCTCTTTCCCCCAAAGCCAGCCATGAGATTTTACAAAAGTCACTCCCTCCCTTTTCTTGTCCCTGGAAGTCTCCTGAAAATCAGCACAGAGAAGCCGGGAATCTGAACAAGCAGGCCTTGCTGGATTTCCCCCAAAGAGTTGATTTCCTGTAAATTCTTCTCCCTTGTTAATCTGTCCTTTGCTATAAATGCATTCCCTGTGGCCTTTGGGTTGAGTGAGGGATGGTATCATACCTTTTCGCCCTGATCTAAGAGACTGACAACGTAGTTGGAAGCAGAAGGAATTGTACATCATAAACCAAAATGGTAATGTAGAGCAATAGTAATAGTCTTTTTAACGTATGTAGTCCTCCATTCATTAAAAAAAGGACCCTTATCTTCTTGAATCCAGAAAGTTTCCTATATTGACAAGTGGCAATTCCATCTCCATTATGGAGCTGATGAAAGAAGGCACAGAGAAATGAAACGACTTACGCACAGTTTTAAACTTAAGTCCCTAAATGTGTCTCTAAATCCCACACACTCAACCACATTCCACTGATGAACTACAGGTAAGCACAGGACACTAATGAAGAAGTGAAGTTTTAGTGAGTTTTAATGTAGTTTTATGAGGCAGAGACAATTATGCTCAGAATGCCTCTCTTAAGGCAGAAAAAATAGGAGCCTATACTTGAAGGTGTTTATAAGTCAGGGAATATTTCAGTAGCTTCGCAAATACCATACTTCTCAACATATGCTTTTAAAAAGATATGTAACAATTCATATATAAGAAAGACAATTATTGGGAAGATGTATTTCAGCTTTAGACTCTTAAGCAAATGGCTGACTTCCTATTTACAAAAATTCTCATCATCAAATTTTTTATGATTTACTTATTTACTTAAATGGTAGCAATGACTAGAAAGGTGCACACAGGCGCGCGCGCACACACACACACACACACACTGAACCTTCCATCTGCTGATTCACTCTCCAGAAGACCGCCAGAGCAAAGGCAGCGTCACGCAGAAACCAGGAGCAAAGATACAGCAGCTTCTTTCAGGTCTCTCCTGCGGGTGGCATGGGGCCAAGTACTTGGGCCGTCTGCTTTTCCATGATTCAGAAGCTGGATCAGAAGCTGAATAGCTGGGATGCAAGTTTGCATCAGTTTGGAATGCTGGTGTCGCAGGCGGCGGTTTTATGCACTACACTGCAGTGCTGATCCCTCATCGCCATCTTCAGAAAGTCTTCTTTTTCTACAAAATTGCAGAAAATTCAACAACTACTGAGGGAGGAAAGACTAATAGTTGCAATAGAGGTGCAGAAATACATAAGATGGAAGGCAACGTTGATTTAATTCAAAATGTACAAATAAAATATCCTATTTTTTTAAAGAATAAAAAAAAATCCCAAGATTTGGTAAAATAAACAGCATGACGGAAGTGCTAAGTCTAGTTCTGGGGACATGTGATAGAGGAAAGAGCCAACAGGACAGCCATCACAATTGTGCAGTAGCGGGAAAATGAAGCCCTCACTTAGGAGAGGAGGGACAAGATATGTGTTGGGGAAGTTTCCTCCAAGAAACAGGAAAGAAAGTACGGCTCAGGAATTCTCAGCTTATGCTTTCCAGTGAGGTAGAAGGTGAGAGGGCTAAGGTGGAACAGGATTTGAAAGAGGGAACGCTGAGAAAAAATGAAAGCATTTTCCTGTGCCAAGGAGGGCCCAGCTACTCTTGCAAATTATACACATGTCATGGGTCTAATCATTAAGTATCCTGAAATGTATTTTTTATTAAGAATCAGAGCAGGGATGTAGGACACAGAATACAAACACCAGGCTTGATGCGAGGTTGGAGTGAGGATAAGAGAGGACAAAGGGAACACAAACTCAGAGAAAAGGGAAGTGAAGAAGAGGGAGAGAGAGGAAGGAGAACAGAACAGAGAGGGGGGAAATCGTGCCTAGAAAGGGGAAG